CTGAATGGCGAGTTCTGGTTGGGTAACGACTACATCCATCGACTTACAGCAAGAACACCCTCGGTGCTACGTGTGGAGCTGGAGGACTGGAACAGAAACAAGAAATATGCCAAATATGGTAGTTTTAGTATTGGCGATGAATCAGACAAGTACAGACTCAAGGTTTCCTCGTATTCAGGTGATGCAGGAGAGTCATTATTTCGTCATAACAATATGACATTCACTACAAAAGACAGAGATCATGACGTTTGGGGTTCTGGGAACATGGCTGTCCTTTATACCGGGGCCTGGTGGCATCGCGATGATCATTATAGATCTAATTTAAATGGAAAGTATTTAGGTAACATTAAGGATTGGAAAGGAATTAATTGGTTAACATTTGACCAAAAAACGTCACTGAAAAACAGTGAAATAAAAGTGCGACCGAGTCTGTTCTAGGCACCCATCATTTCAGTTGGAATTTGCACTACATGCTTGCTTTTTATCTCTTCATGCAATTAACCGGTCTTCACGTTCACTAAATATCACGACACGACCAAACGATGACTGTTGAAAACAGCCAAAATATTCGGTGTAATATATCTTTATTTGCCTAGACTGCTATATATGAGGTCATAATGTCTTCAGGGTTGGATATCTAGATGGGCACACACAGTGTTCCACATCTGATACATGTTGAGGTTTATTACTTTGACTCGCGCTTGTATCTTATGCATACTATTTCTTTTTTGGCACGAGAGGAAACTGGTTTCTAAAGTTATTGATTCTTCTCTTTTTTTGTTTGTTTCAACGGGAAGTCGAGAGAACAAGAAGACATCTTGTCCAGCTACATGTTCAAGTTGTAAAAGAAACCAACGACATTCATTAGGATCCCTGTTGGTGATGAAATACGTATGCTTATATACGCCAAGACTATTAATGAGATATCATGAATTACGGCTCCTGCGTCAAGCCTGCCAGCAGTTGGCCGTATAAAGTCTAAATATGGGAAGACCATTCGTTGCTTCTTTTTTTTTTCTTTCTTGTTTTTTTTTTTCTTTTTACCATTGGTTGCTTGTCGTGACCACATGTCATTTCTTCTGGGCCTTCGATCGACTTCCCTTACTTAAAACACACAATAATAAGCATCAGAACAAGAATCAATAACTTCCGAAACCCAGCTCTTAAATTTACCACTGCTGGCAAAAAAACAAAAACGAAAACGAAAAACCGTAATAGTTTTAAGCGCACTTTCTGGGTCAACGTAATTAAATAAGTCTCTACATGTATCAGATGTTCTGTCTGTGCACATCTAAATTACATTTTTTGACCTCATATAGCAGTCTAGGCATATATAAATATATATTACAAACCATACCGAATATTCTAGCTGTTCTCAGCGCTCGTCGTTTGGTTGTGTTGTGATATTGAACATGAAGACCTAGATGGCTGCTCCTGCTTCTTCGAGTTCATCTCGTATCATCATCGTCATGCTTTCAGTTATGGCTGTCTTGTTGTGCTGTGCTGAGTTTATACGCATCGAGGTGATTCTAAAACAACAACAGACCAAAATGAACCAGCTAGAGAACAAGATAACCTCTACACTCGATACAGACAAGATGTTGAGAATAATGGACAAACTAACAGGAAAACAACTTGCAACGAGTGAAGAAGAACGACAAGAAAGAGGAAGACATCGTCAACGACGAAGCGTAGGTACGACGAATAATACAAGAAAACGACCAGAAGAAACTCAAAGTGAGTTGACTAAAGTGATCGGTGAAATGAAGAAAGCCGTGTCTGCAATCCATGATATCAAATACAGGATAGCCATACCAGGACCCCCCGGACCTCCAGGCAGTCCTGGACCCAAAGGACAAAAAGGATCACGGGGGAGAAGAGGACCCAAAGGACCGCAAGGACCCATGGGACGACCAGGCATCAAAGGAAAACAAGGAATTATGGGACCACGTGGGTTAAAAGGTGATCCTGGTCACGTGGGAATCACTGGACTACCAGGACCCCGAGGCATGTCGGGATCGAAAGGGGAACCAGGTCAATCACTAGAAGATCCTCGAGTCGTGATATCTCCTCCTCATTTGATTGTCAATGAAAGTCAGTCAGCAGTCTTCCATTATTCTTTCCGTGGTAATCCACAGCCCATGGTTGGCTGGAGTAAAGTGGGAGGTTCATTAGACACGACAAGATCAATAGTTAATAGTAGCAGAGGTATACTAGAGATCAAACATGTCACATTCTCTGACTCAGGGATATATCAATGTAATGCATCTAGTATTCTTGGTAAAGCACTTGCCACCACAAGACTAGTGGTCAACTACCGTCCTCGAGTTAGCCTAACGAAAGGACCAATCTACGCTAAGATAGGAGACAACGTCACACTACCAACATGTCACGTGATGGGACACCCCAAACCCAGAGTCACGTGGTCCAGGTCCATTGGTAAATTGCCATCAAATCGTACCCTTACTCGTGATGACGAGCTGACCTTGTTTAACGTCGTGAAGGATGATTCTGGTACATATGTGTGCACCTCTGATAATTTTCTTGGTTCTGATGCTGCAGGATGCGTATTGGTGGTCGTACAGCTACCTGTGTTTGTTATCAGACCACCTAACATATCCTACGCTATCGTAAATTCATCATTGACTCTAAATTGTTCAGCTAAAGGTGATCCTGAACCAGTGATCAGCTGGAGAAGAGAAAATGGTGCTCTTCCCTCGGGTAGAAATGAAATAACATCAGAGGGTTCTCTGGTCTTAAGGAACATTCAAGCATCTGATGATGATATCTATATTTGCTCTGCTACAAGTGCTGGGGTATTCGATGTGTAGGCAAACTCTACATTGAAGTTCCGCCATCATGATTGCTCAGAGATCTACAAATCAGGTGAAAGACGTAACGGTGTGTACACAATACAACCCGACAGTCAAGGACCCTTTGATGTCTACTGTGACATGACAACTGACGGAGGGGGGTGGACAGTGTTCCAGAGAAGACAAGATGGATCTGTAGACTTTTATCTTGAATGGCAACAATACAAAACCGGTTTTGGAAACCTGAATGGCGAGTTCTGGTTGGGTAACGACTACATCCATCGACTTACAGCAAGAACACCCTCGGTGCTACGTGTGGATTTGGAGGACTGGAACAGAAACCAGAAATATGCCAAATATGGTAGTTTTAGTGTTGATGGTGAATCAGACAAGTACAGACTCAAGGTTGCTTCGTATTCAGGTGATGCTGGGGAGTCATTACTTCATCATAATAACATGGCATTCTCTACAAAAGATAGAGATCATGACCCTCATGGGTCTAGAAACGTAGCTGTCCATTATACTGGTGCCTGGTGGTATTACAATGATTATAGATCTAGTCTAAATGGAAAGTTTGGAAGTACGTTTCAAAGTTGGAAAGGAGTTCATTGGATAAGTGATTATAGCACGAAACCTATAAAACACAGTGAAATGAAAATTCGACCAAATTCATTTTAGACATTTCCATTTCAACAGAGAGTGGTTTTCATAAACCCGTGAAACAAATTGTACTAATTAGAGTCTAATAGTCACAAAATAGACAATAGAAAACAAAGCAATTATCGTAAGGTAGTACATAATAAGCTAAAGTGTTAATGGAAACAACTCTAATATCTGGAAACATGAATGGAAATGGAGCTCTTTCTTGTGGTAGAAATAATGTAATAAAATAGTGCTGAAAATTTATTTTCAAATTTCAAATTGTACATCAAATTGTGAAAGATTTCCTAAAGATGCACGAGATACCGATACCATTATCGTTGAAGAGGACCCGCGAAGTTTTATGTTTTGTAATAGGCCATTTGCAGCAAACAGTCACTGCTAATATATCCCTTCAATAACGAATCAATTCAGCCAAATGTCCCTTGGGGAAGGCTCTGCTGGATGGCAAGCAAACTTTTAATGGCTTTGTATCTTGTAAGGGGAAAAACATTTTGGAAAAGATTTTGGATATGACATTACTAATCCAGCAAAATTTATTTGAATAAAGGAATTTTTTGTCATCCAGTAACAGTCACGTGATTATGTCCTACAAATAGCTCATTCGCCAACTAGCATTTCAACGACCGTCAATCAAAGAACTAAGAAAAGACTACAATATTTGAGGAAGATTTTGGACTAGATGATTAAAATCTTTAAACTAGTCTGAAGTCTTCCTGAAGATATATCGTTTTTTTTATTTCAGTTCATCGAGACATCAAACTTTCGCGGGTCGCACTTCGACATTAATGGTACTGTAGTAATCAAAATAGAATAGTAACGACCCCTTTGCAATTACTGCAAGAGGAATAACAAAATGACATGAAATTAAATTTCTTAAAAATCTCGCAACGTGGACACTACTCTAAATTCTTTTTGTATGACTCCCATCAAAAGCTCCAAAGTGCTTGGTTCTCATTTCTGCTTGATGGCCTTTTCAAACGATTTATTTACTTCTTGAAGTCACGTCTTTATCATTATATTCATTTAAATTGACGTACGAGTTAGAGCAGTTTTCGTATGACTGAAGTGGGGACGACAAACGCCATCACGGTACGCAAGACATCCTTTGAACCGATCAGCGCGCGTGTAAACACTTCTAAGCCAATCAAAATGGTCGGGAACGTTACGGTCACGTCATACAAAATTTGCTTCAACCAGTCATAGGCATGCTTTCAGGTCGTGTATACACTTCTACACATCATAGCGTGAAAAAGAAAGTTGTGCTGCAACTTATTCCTGGGAACCAAAAATGAAAATTATTTTAGTGTCTTATACGATTTCTTTCAAAATATTTTGATCAAAGAAAGAATAGACGACCCATTTATCTTGGGCGTAATGTTTACCCATTTCAAACCACGTGTCATTCTATTGAGAATAAGATTCTTTGTTTGAGTTGTATTCATATTCATGAGTCTTCTAATGCACAACTGTTAAACAAAGAAATGATACTCTAGGGAATGACACGTGGTCTGAAATGGGAAAACATTAAGCCCAAGCTAAAGAGTTCTATTGAATATCACTTTTGCGTTATTATATGTTCACAACAAACAAGGTATTTAGGCTCAGATTTCCAGCCGTGGGGGTTTCGTACGCGCCCCTTAGAACCCAGACAGCTGGAAAACTCAGCCTACAAGGTACAGTATTATGCTTACTATTTTAAAAAACACTTTCAATGCTTCACTAGTGGGTTGACTATGGGTGCTATTGGGTTCGTTGATTTTAGTGGTAAAAACTTATTAGGGTAAAGGTAGCACACCTCTTCCTTTTAACCATTAGCTGTGAGTTGAAGTTTGCACACAGGTTGAAAATACTCTTACCTTTGTCGTTTTTACTTCAGTTGCACTCATTTTACTAGGATCGAAGAAAATACTTGGTATATTTGGCCCAAAGTAGATCTTGGAGTTCGTGGAAATGGATTTGTACTTATTAAGTTCCAGATACTCCTTTGTCAGTTTAAGCTGAAGAAATAGAAGAGGATAATAAATTTAGATTTTGCCTTGAAAAATGAAATGTGCAATGATGATTGTCACTTTTGCTGAATTAAATTGCAACAAGGCTAAATTAATTTTCATCAAGGGCTAATCAATGCTAACAAATTATTAGTTCTTCTATAGAATGAAGTGATTACCATAGATGTGTCATTACCCCACCCTACTCTACCCCTGGATGGGATGCTAGTCCATCAGGTTGATCCCAGCATGTATGTTATGCATCAAACCAAGAAGTAGCTTGTACTTAAAAACATTTAAAAAAAATTCCATATAATTAATTAATTATTATTATTATTATTGTTATAAATAACAAAGTAAACACAGGCAGTGTAGTAGTGAGTAAGCACTAGCATGTCATCAATGCAACCCGCCGGGCTCAATGTTGTATGAGAGTAGAATTTTTAGTTTGATTGATTGTCTTTTATTCCTCTTTAGAGTCACATTTTTATACAATGGTAAGACACATCATAGGAAATATAGTTGTACAAAATTCTTATGTAGTAATAGAGCCTGAGGGCTAAGTTAACTGGAAAGTTTTTTAGTTAGCCCCTAGTCTTTTTGTTTTTGAAAGTTGGTTCTCTCCTGTGCTTTGAGGGTTTTTCTCCGGGTTCTCTGGTTTTGCTTCCAAAAAATTCAACTCCTAAATTCCAATTTGACCATGGAAAGAAGGCTGCAGGTTCGTTAGCCACTGGCTTAAGTGCCTCCCTTGTGAAAATGGACACAGTTTTTTTCTTTAAAAGTTATAAAGTTATAAACATATTTACTTTGTTCGCATCTGCTTCTTTTTGAGCAATGTAGAAATCAGCATCAGCACGTGATTTCATTTTTGCAACATAAGTGGCATCTAAGGGAATGCAAAATTACATGGTATATTTAAAATAATTAACAAAACTCTAATACATTATCAATAGTTTTTTATCTTTAATGTCTTTAAATATGTAGTGCAATATATAATTCTGATAACAGTAATATAGAGTTTTGAATTTTTATAAAAATAGCAAAAATAAAGACATTATAGCAGACAATATAATTTATTATAGGAGTTTTAACTAAAAAAATCTACTTTGGCATTTAAAGATATGTTTTTTTGGGGAATGGCTTTCATAGGGTAATCATGTACAGCTTACATGTGTCGGTCAACTATCACCCAACTGTTGGTCTATAGTCGGCCACTATTGGCTGTGTGTTGACTGAGCATTGGCGGACTATCGGCTGTGTGTTGATAGTCAACCGACACGTGTTTGCTGGTCATGAAGTACGCATACAAGATTACCCTATGAGAGCTATGAAGGGAAAAAAAGACATGTATGCCTTAATGCTTACCTTCAATCATGGACATCTTTTTGAGACTTTCTTTCTCCATGATTTTTTGTTGGTACTGTATTTGGGATACCATTGCTTGTTTTTCAGCCTCTGAATGGTTAAAGTAGTGTATAAATATTAAACTGTGAAGAAAAAGCATTGGACAGTGAAAGTCTTATGGAGATAGGAACAGGCGTCAGAAAGGGAGGCAGAGAGAGAATGCAGCTGGACAGACAGACAGGGAGACAGAGAGGGAGAGAGGTGGACAAGCATACTGATCATAGCAGACAGACAGACAGAAGGGAAGGAGGCAGAGAGGCAATGAAGTTGGACAAACATACTACTTGTAGCAGACAGACAGACAGAAAGAAAGGGAGACAGAGAGATATGCAGCTGGACTAAACATACAAAAACAGATGACCAGATAAATCTACCTCTAGATATGTAGTTCTAAAGGCACATAGACAGTCAGACAAACACACAGATGGATAAAATGGTAAGAAAAAGAAAACCTAGTAGTGAAAAAAAAGCTTACCAATAACAGCTTTCTTTCTTTCTGTTTCTGCTTCTTTCTCCACCACTTTTTGCTTCTGTTGTGCAATCATAAGCTTGGTCTTCTCAGCTTCCCTGTACAAAAAAAAAAATTTCATTATTCACAAAAAAAAATATCATTAACAACATTTTCTCTTTAAAAAAATGTATACTTACATTAGTTCATAATTTCTTCTGATGGCTTCAGGAATCTTTGGTTTTGTTACTCTCACAGCCTGCACACCGAAAAAAATACAATGTCTTTTGTTAGAGTTTACCAATGTCTCAGGCAAGGGGGAAGTGTTTAACTTCTGTAAAGTTCCTTCAGTTACAAGGCTGTCTCTCTCCATCATTTGAATCAGAGAGGTAAGAGGTAATGAACCCTTAAAGGTACAACAAGCATCCCTGCCCTTTTTTCAATCAGAGTATCCCCCCCCCCCCTTCCCTGGCATTTCTATACAAAACTACTAGCTTAACTACGATGTTTTAAGGAAGTATTCACTTTAGAATGCTTTTTTGTTACTTACATGAACAGTAAGACCAGGAGCCATTACTAACAGGTCTTTTTGAAGAGCAGATTTAAGATTTTCATCAATCTGGTCTGCAAATAAAATCCCAATTATATCTTTACTACATCTGCTCAGTTACTCTGCATATGCTGTCCATAAAGTAGCAATGATAAAAAGGTAAATTATACACCATGAAAAGATGAAGGACTAGCGTCGGAAACGTCAGTAAGTTTTTTCATCTTTTCACGGTGTATAATTTACATTTTTATCATTACTGTTTCATTAGAAACACCGACGCAGCTCACACTAGTTTTTAGCTAGTTATCTCTTCTGTTCATAAAGTACATTATTATTCAAAGATAATCAACAATTGCATAACCAATGTTTGTTGAACAGTTCTGGGATGCTAGCACTGAATGTCTTTCACTATAATCTGACTGTCAGTCAAAGAGAAACCTAAAATAAAGTACTGTACAGTACCTACCAAACAAATCGATGTAGACTTCTTGAAGAGAGTGACTGCTACAGAACTACAACAAAGCCATACAAAAATATATCATCATAAAGGAATGATATATGTTCAAATATTGGTTATCAACCATTAAATTCATCTACGAACATGACCTTGGGATTATGTGTGTTAAGCAGTCCTTGCTGGATATGCCAGTAAACACATATATTTTGATTAATCAAAAATTACTAAAAGAAATTACCTGATTCAATTCATGGTGAACTTTATTGAAAATTAAAGTTTTATCATAGTCTGCAGTGTACTTCTTTACAACTTCAAAAACTATAGAAATATTAAAATGAATTACTAAAATTGATTAAAATAATTTCTAGAATCAAAAAAAATATATAAACCTACATAAAAAAATAAAATAAAGTCTTAATTTTGAAATCAATTTACAGATGCTTCCATCTGTGACCATGGATCTTTTTTAGTGTGTGGTTGGTATTTTGGCACACACATTTATATGATGGTATTAGCACATGGTGTAGTCCTGTATGAGAGTTCTATACATTTTCTTTTCACTCGCATGACAAGGCAGCCATATTGGTGTACCAAAGAATAGAAACTTTATGCACAGTTTTTGAATCAAAATAGAGTTCAATTCCCCAAGGATAGAACATGTAATGTTTTGGCACACCAAGATAGCCACTGTGACATCATGTGAAAACACTCTATACAGTATGTGTGTGCAAACATGTGATTCAAAATCTGTTGAGATATAAATAGCCATGAAACAGCCACCATCTTGATTGATCTAACAAGAGAAGTTACTGTAATGAGGAATGTTTTGTTATCATCAACCAAGATGGCGGCTGTGACAATGTGCACATGCTCTATTGATAGTCATTCTTTGAGTTATCATAGTCAATTCAAAAGTATTTGCTTACCATTTTCTGCATTTAAAATATTAACCACTTCAATCCTATCAATGTAAATCATTACACCTCCACTGAAATAAGATAAAGAATACTTTAATAAATTAAAGACATATGGACGTGTTGCAAGAAGGTTGTCTCGTAAGCATACAGTATGTTGGTTTACTTTGTTTGGTTGTTAACATTATATTTACATTTACCATAGATTTGTTTGTAAATAACATCTTTAACTGCTATCTCATTATTCCCTAAGGATTCTAATTAGTCCAAAATCTTGGATCTCTATTAAGATTTTATGGTTGAGAAAGTGTTCTTGTATATAAAAGACATGATTCCAAACTAAAAAAAACATGTCAGACTAAAAAGACATAAGTTTAGTGAACCTCATGAACTTCATGAAAAACCCTGTATGGTGTGTGATGGTTGTAAAAACAAGCTAATACCAGGTGGTCTCTTTTGCTCTCTAAAAAGTCCCACAATACAATGCAATCTCAACAACATTTTTTCCTCAACCTCGGAAAGGCTATACACCAAATCAAAATATGGTGACCAATTTGAATAACTATCGTTTTGGACTGACTATCAACTGACTAGAATCTTACGCATGTGAAAATGATTTTATGTTTCCATGTGTGGGATTAGGATAAACAAATAATGATATACAAAATATATTATTCTGTGGTTCCAGAAAAGTTCCATACCCCACCATGGAGGAACTTTGAAAAAAGGTCCCACCCCTCTGGAATGTTCTTCCATACAAACCTTGTAATTTTGTTCTTCCTCTGACCCCCCACCCCCTGGGAATCTCTGATCCCCTCCATGGTGGGGTATAGGTATTTTCTGCAACTACACATTCACATTTTTACCTTGTACCACATGGGACATTTTTAACCTCATCTGTTTGTAGAGTTGATTGTACTGATCTATACGATGTGATAAATGGTGTCATGAAATGATAACCTGGCCCACTTGTACTGGCAAGAAGAGCACCACCCTAAAAATGTAGTCAAAAAAACATAGATGAAACCCTTTAAATTACAATGCGCTATGACTACTACTTTTTAGGAGAATYATTAGGGTGGTGAATCAGTAGTACGACTACCCATCTCATCTCTGGGATTGCTCGTTTGATTTTCAGACTTGGCACATGTGAGTTAGTTTCTTGATCAGCCGGCAAAGGTTGTTTCAGAGTTTGATCTGTGAGTTGGCTATGTTCTGACTTAGATCAGCCCAGAGGTTGTTTCAGGGTTCAATCTGTGAGTTAGTCATGCCCTGACGTAGGTCTGTCCAGAGGTTGTTTCATGATTCAATATGTGAGTGGGTCATGCCCTGATTTAGATGGTCCTAGAGGTTATTTCAGGGTTCCATCTGTGAGTTAGCCATGCCCTGACTTAGATCAGCCCCGAGGTTGTTTCAGGGTTCAATCTGTGAGTTAGTTGTGCACTGACTTTGATCAGCCCAGAGGTTATTAATTATTTCAGGGCATGGAAAAAATTAGAAGATATAATTGATACATGGTTTGAACATACCCTATAGTAAACTCCAACATGACCTGGCAAGTAAAAATGAAAGAATCATCCTTGAATATTGGAAATGCAAATGAAACGCAGAGTGATAAATCTGTATTACAGGACCCAGGCAACTAGTTATGATTCATGTTGTCTGGGTTTTAGCTTCCATCAATCAAATTTCCAGCAGCTTGAGTTAGTATCTTTGATTAAAATTTGCCAAACATTCTGACATCCTGTGTTTGTTTGTCATGTAATGAAAAATGGGTGTAAAATTGTATTCTTTTAATACTTTGCATTCAATATACACATTTCTAGAAAATAATTATACTTTCAAAAGAATATATAAGAATGTCAAGGACAAAAGATACGAATATGGATGGTATATAAATCATGGATTTACAAACTAAATGATGCAACACAATGAAATCATGAATATTAATATTTTTCTCTGTGCTTGCTCACAAATATCCTTCTACCGAATATTTATCAAAGTTCAAAAAAGCTATAAAATCTTATTCTATTAAACATGATGATCCACAGAATGAATTTTATAATGCAAAATGCAATTTAAACTGAAACGTTTTCTTTTTCAAAAGAAACATAAAGCCTAGAAATTAATTAAAAGACACGCTCAAATTAATTAAGAGGCAGATATTTCAGCTTGGTTCGTGCACAATCAACAAAGGCTCAAGGCTTGATATTCACACATCTTTGAAATCTAAGATTCATTTCATATCTGGTACTAACCTTCATCGATTTTATGTAAGGCAAAGTTAAATAAAATAGCTGTTAAAAGGACAATGATTCCTGCACCCACCGCGGCCGACATGTTGAATGAAAATATCCCAGAATGCAGTGCGAAGGGCCATTCTAGTGCCAGTCTACATATGTATTCACTCTAGTTTCCGTATTTAGAAAATTTATCCATATTTTACTGGTTTTTAGTTTTTAAATATTGACGTTCTTATTGTTTTCTTTGCTTCATTTTCTTCCTTCTGAGGATTTTTCAAGGTTTATGTTTTATTTGGAGCTTTTTCTTTTGTGTGTCAAATAGCAGACGAAGATGGGTGGGGCCAGTAGGTCTTCTAAGTCTCACCTCGTCTTTTTTCTTGCAGTCAATTCTAGTTTATAAAAATTAGGTTGACAAATCTAATGTCTTCGTGGTTATTACATTCAGTAGAATAGATAAGGAGCTTATGGGAACCAACTTTGTGTTAAAACCCTCAACTTTGAGCACCGATCGACTTGTAGTATTGAAGCTTTTTTTTAGAGAAGAGAGTCATCATATTTTTCAATCAAGTCACAACTCACCATGCTCTTAGTTAATCTTTTTGCTGACTGTTCATCAGGTGTGATGTCCAATGTATTGCTTACCCCTTCCCCCTAAAACAAATCGTTTTCCCCCTTTTTTTAGTGGAAATTGGTGTTTGCATCGACCCTCCTCGAATGCAGGGGTTTAGGCAGAGGAGAGCCAAGGAGCCCCCACCTCCCCCCTCTCACATCCTGACGCTGTAGAAACCTAAACACCTGCATATTGAAGTAATAAGTTCGAATTACCGATGCTTTGGAAACGACCTCCCCCCCCCAAAAAAAAGAGGCAAAATTCTGGCTACGCCCCTGAAATAGGCGAATGTCACTTGTGAGATCGTTTTAATAAAGTGCTTCGGGACGTTGTGAAGTACTTGCCTGTCGCAATATAAATGAAAATAAACTGAAACAAATCGGAAATCGCCAAGATCAGTGTTCGTAGTTAAGCTTATATTTCCATGTCAAGATTGGTCAATGGCGAGCCTTGACAGTCGTAACAGTAAGAGCGGTTCCCAAGAGCTTGTTCACCGTATTAACACCATTAATAATTTATGAAAACTTATCTAGCTGTTATATTACAGTTGAGTCCGCAATGAGATATGGCTTTTGTTTTAAGAATCATAAGAGAGGCTATTGGCCTGATACAGTGCTTGTGTCAACTTTGAGGAGAAAATGACAGTTTTACTCGACAAGTTTCAAAAGAGTTCGTCATTTATGAATTTCAGTTACTGAACGGTGTGGTCTGAACAGACGCCGTGGATTGCTTTCCGAGCAGGTGTTTCAACTAAGATTACAGACGGTTGGGAAAATAGCATGCACCTTAGATTGGTTAGCGTCTTAATTTCTTAACAAAACCGGGCGGATCTAAGGTTTTGAAAAGGAGCAAGGCGAGGCAAGAATGATCATGAAGTGACAAAAAAAACCCCTAGTTTTATGAATTGTTTATATATCTTATATATATATATATATATAATAAATTTTATAAATTTTGTTATAACTCCCTAGATCTTTTTGCTGCGGGCGCGAAGTTATCGCAAAACTATTAACAACAGATTTTTCAAATACGGAGTGACTATTAATTTGTAGTCTTTTCAGCGAATATTTATCAACATTTTTCACTCCCGTACGAATTACTCGCGGTTGTTATTCCTACGGGAGCCGGTTCAACAAATATTTACCAACATTTTTCACTCCCGTACGAATTATTCGCGATTGTTAATCGTACGGGATTCGTCAGAAATTTTATTGCGTGACATTTCCCACCGTGACACTGACCCTCAGACTATCTACACGAAACAAAAATTCCAAGTGTCGCGAAAGTGAGTTGCTTGCTACTGAGTACAGACTCGTCAAATAACTTTGAATCAAAATAACATCACTAACATGAATCGCCTAGCTGGTGTAAACAAAAATATCGTAACGTGTGGCGTGCCGTGCCATGACCTTGATGTTTTTTAATTGGCTGATTTCCCCCCCCTTTTTTTGCGCAATGTGATTGGTTTGGCAGTGCCGTCACCTTGGCGTGACTGTGTCCCCGCAGTGTTTCGGGTATTTGATTGGATGGAGAGTAAATATTTGTGCATTGTGATTCAGTCTGCATAAGCCTTGCCATTTCACGACTGTTTTCATGCCGCCAGCTTTACACAGTCCTATGAAAACTCTCTATTCGTCGGAGAAGAGTGATTACGCAATGCCATGCACTGATTGGTTAAAGTAATATATGAAGCAAGAAAGGCGCGCACCCTGCAAAAAGCTCAGACTTAGTGCCTTGCTATCGCCACCGATTGGCTAAACTAGATTTCGAGCATCGCGTGATTGTCAAACGAATGGTTGCATGGAATAAATGTTGCTCAAAGCCAAGCAAGGCTTTGTCGTTTATAATACACGCATATTGCCTCATTTTCATTCCAAACCACTAACATCCGTGTAAGATCTGCCATTGACAACATTTATACCAATCGCAGTCCGTGATATCCGAGTGTCACGGTCATGGCAGGGCAACCTTATTGTCTGTCGTGAATATTTCGCTTCGCATGAAAATTTAAATTTGCTCTTATATAATTGCATATACCATTTATTTTTTACTGCAGGGCTACGAAAACAAAATTGTTCGCCTAGTCAGCCCGTCTATAATTCTACTAGAATTAGACAATGGTTCAGACAAGCGCTTCTTTTGCTTTTCAATTCTGTTAGCTGATAACTTATCGTGGTTTGTGCCTGTTCAATCACGATTAGCGATTTAAAACAAATCTTCGAGCCGAAGTAGGAATGGGAAAAATAAAATGAAAAAGAAAAGGGAATTCGGAAATTGATATTGCCTCCCAAAGTAGAAAATTATTCCTCTTGATTTCAATTATTACACACCACTGAGGCTTGAAAATGATTTTATCCTTTTCCCCAACTCAAATTTTCTTCTAGATCAAATTCAAATTGCGTTTTTCATTTTTTTAAACATTAATATTTTCACACATATATTTCAAATTAAAAACGAAAGATTTGATAGAAAATTAATTGAAAATTAAATGAATCATCTTTTTAGTTTTAAGTTGCTGCCTATTTTTCATGATCGTGTGGTCAATATTTTTCTTCTAAAAATTGAAAATAAAGACAGTTTGCTTGTCGAGACTTTAAGTAAACACTGAAATGGTAGAAGGATGTTCATTGACGGTATAATTGCAAACGATTGAGAGAACAAGAAGAAACGACCGCCAAGAATTAGCTAGTACTTATCGCAATATCTCCAAGCGACATAAATTAAGAATCAAGTCTGTCTTCCAAATGTATTCTAAAAATAGATACACAAACTAAACAATGAGCACCTTACGTACTCTAGTGACTCTCCGCCTATTTAAGAAGCTAAGAAGTTTTATTTGTCTTATTGGAATTAACTCCTTTCTTCTAAATCAAATACCCGATAATCTTTACCATCAAATCTTTCGCGGTTTTCATTTTTTTTTTTTTTTTTTTAATAGAAATATTTCCATCCTTCTAGTAATCAAAACCATTTTTCAGCCATATTTTTCGTTTGTTTTCGTTGTAGTTTACTGCGGCCTTCTTTTCTAAGAAATGTAGTGTCATTGATCGAACGACGCTGGCCTTTTCACCAGGACAACGCTGAGTTTCCGATAGATTTTCTGATTAAACCAGTATTACAGTTGGCCAGGTGTTCAGAGACATTTAGTTTTCCATCACTTTCACGATGACAAAGTCCGGTATAGTACCTCCCAAACACCCGAGAATCTGGGCAAGTTTCTGTTTGCCTTACATTTTTAATCAATGTTATAGCATTCATAATAGGCACTAAAAACATAAGCAACAGAATTTAACACGAATTATTATTAGTGGTTCATCGATTGGATTTATTAAGTTTTTCTTGTTAAAAAATATGGAATATCGATTGGTTATGTAGGCACGTGACCTGTAAGAGTAATCGATAATATTGTGCTTGGGCTGTGGAGTTCTTTGCAAGCAAATATGGCGGCGAGTCACTGTCCGAGATCTTTTCACGACACATATGATCTTAAGGAAGAGCTTGGAAAGTAAGTTTTCTCGTTGCTCGCTCATGATTTATCCTGTGTGTGTGTCACTGAGTGCTTTTCGTATACGAATAATATTTTTTCGCTTATTTCTCAATACAGAGGTGCATTCAGTATAGTTCGTAGATGCATTAATAAAGAGACAAGGGTCGAATATGCTGCCAAAATTATCAACACAAGAAAACTTTCAAGTAGAGGTGCGTATTAAACACTTCCTATGTGACTCGATTTTGTTTTCTTTCTCGATAAACTCGCCAAGGTCTTACTAAGCCGTGTATCGACTCTCCGGTCTAGTAAGACACTTGTGATTATTTTTTTCTTCCAGAATCCTATTGTTTATATTCATACAAAATAGTGAAGTATAAATTTATCCAGCCCATTTTATTGAACTACGAAACAGAGAGTTCGATTTGCCGATGTTCTTCCTTTAACAATATTTTTCCCCCACCAAATATTTGCCGTAAAGTAAAATCAAAGTGAGTGTTTTGAAACAGAACCTGAAGCACTGAGGATCATCTTTTTGGGTTTCGGTTATGGTGTTGCCATCCTAAAACAACTCTTCAGCTAAGAACCCTGGCGTTCTTGAACGCCTTATATTTTCTTTTAGATTGAACTCCGGGTCATGCCAAATGACAGTTCAGTTTCACCTTTTTCGTTTACAATACGAATTGTACTTAGAAATCCTGTAAGTATTAATGCCTATTTTTCCCTTTTGTTTCTTAGATCTTCAAAAATTGGATAGAGAAGCAAGGATTTGTCGTCTTTTAAAGCATTCAAATATTGGTAAGCTCTTAAACTCCCGTAGTTTCGCTTCGAAGAGGATTAGAATTATAGTTGAAGCTTGTGTTTCTCGAATGATTTAGATTATTTCAATCAATTTCGACCGTTTCTAAATCGCTCAGCGTTAAAGTTGAAATAAATKGACTCGAAGTTTTCTCAGACTCGTGCAAAGGGACTTCTTGACTACTAGACGCATAGTATATATATTTTCTAAAGTTATCGCCGATTCCCTTTGACCTCAAAGATTTGAAGTTTCGTTATTTTTGGTTGGAAAAGTCCTTACTGCATATAATTCTTTCAAAGTTTTAATTGAATTTAGCATCTCTGTTCACTGAAACATGAAGCTTTCCTGATGTCTGATATTTTTTCGATTAGTTTGTTTTGCTAACTTTGAATGATGTGAAAAATTCATTTGTTCTAACAAGAAGTAAACAATTTTCGTTCAAACCGTGGACTTCATCAATTAAGGCAACTTTCCTTATTTACATTTATGTTGAGACAGAATGCTTTACCACGAGAAGGTGTGTGTGTGTGTTTTTTTCTTCAATTTATTTTCATCATTTAAACTTTCTCAGAAAGTTTACCCGTGTATAAATCAGGAACCCATTTCAATGCCGGAAAAATATTTACAGTGAACCCATTTGAGTGCTGCTGTAGAACTAACTTAAAGGAGTTTCCTTGATATTTTGTATACAATTTTTGGAATAATTAGTCCATAACGGCAGGTTTCGAATACAGGTCATATGATAGTAAGAAACAAGTCCCCTACTGATCAAGTAAGACGCTAAAATTGAAGCCCGTTAGTATTTTTCTTTGCATTTTAAATTTACTATATTGGAATACAGAAAAAAAAAAAAAAAAAGAAAAAAAGAAAGAGAAATAGAACATTGCAGCTCTTTATAAGTAGGTCTATGATTTGCATACAACTTTTTAAGGACTTATGAATATTTTATTCCAATCAGAAACCATCCATTAAGTTCCAAACATAAACAAAATGGTTCACTGAACCCAGACTAAACTTTGGCCATGTGTCTAAAAATAATCCAATTGCATTTTTATGTGTTATCAATAAAAATATGTTATTAATTAATACTTGTTCTGACATCCTTCAAATATCTTATTTTATAGGCGAGCAATTACAGGTGTTTTATTCTAGAATGTTATGTAAATTTTGACAAGTTTCTATATATGACTCCTAAATATTTCTCATTTATATATAATCATCAAAAACCAATATTAATCATGATTTGAACTTAGTGGTTCTGTATTTCAATTTCCACCAACCCCATGCTGGTTAACAGTAAGGTTGACTCATAACAACTTAATCAAGAGTCTGTAGACCAACTTGTGTGAAAGGTAACAGAGCCAACAATCTTTCTGATGAACTTACTTAACTCTTATGGGTTTTTGGACCATTAGAGATATTTTTTGGACTTTCCTATCCCATTTGAGAAAAGTTAAGTTCAATTGACCATGTTTGCAAAATCTACTGCATCTGGATTGATAGTAATCTTGATAGCTTATTCAGCCAAAAATTAATTTTGTTCTTATAGTAAAATTATTTTTTGAACTGCGGTTTTAAAAAAATTCATAAAAGGTATGCACATGTAGTATATATTGTCTTTTACGAAACTCAGATCAGTACTTTTCTGGTTATTTAACTCGTGTATAATAAAATCTTCTGTATAATCTATACCTAGATGGAGCCAAAGAGACTGTCTACAACCAGTCTTCATATAAATAGTGGACTAAAGTTCTCTTGACTCAGCAGGTTTTTTTGCATTTCAATTATTATTTTATATTAAATTTTGCCTTAAGGTTTGTTAAGTTAAAACAACTTCTCTGAAGCCTCACAGCTCCTAAAAATCACTGATACCGGCAGTTTGTTTTTTATTGAACCAAATTAAAAAACTTGTGCGATACCAAGTTGTCAAATACTGCATAATAAATGACATATTACCAGATGGAAAATTAAGAAAAGAGGAAAGAAAAAACATCCTGCATTGACATATATTGGCTACATTATTAAAGACATGTCCCTGGTTATGCTCTAAGTTTTTACTTTAAAATGCTACTATTGTCAAAATAATTTATCAAAATGACAACCTTTTGAAATAGATATATTAATCAGTATATTCAACATCATAGTGGATGATTTTTCTTTCACCATTGATAAAGATTTCTTTCAGATGAACAAAATTGAAGAATTCAAATTTTTTTTGGCTGTTTATTATGACCAAGGTCAAGATTAAGGAAGCGATTAATGCAACTGTCATTTAACAATAAGAATAAATTTTCTGATGTTCTGGGGATAATTTTACCAGTTTGGAATAGATAGATCAATAAAAGATAAATAATTCTTTCTTTAATTTCTTTAGTTTTTACATTATTGATTCAGCACACTTTGGAATATATTTGATTATGTTTTCTGGTGCAAAGTGTAATTAATTAGGAAATTTTTTAAAAAATGATCAGCATTTGTATATTTATTTAATTAGCTAGCTTTTACCTCAGATGGAATTATAAAAATAAAATAAAAAGTTACAAAAAGATGAAAAGTAAAATAAGGAAAACCGTCACAGGTTTACCAAATTATGTTGATTTCTAAAGATAAAATTAAATGATTATTTTTAAAACAATATGTATAAAGCTTACACCTTGCAACACAAAGGTACTTATTGTAATGAATATCCCTTGATACATTTTGATTTATACTATTTTCTATATTCTGCAATTATCAATTTAGTAGGTCACTCGTAAAGGTTTCTCATAGTAGCCCCATGAAGCCATAAGGCTTTGGTTCTTGGAGTGTAAGGAGGGATCTAAGGTGTTCTTTTGACAAAACTTTACTAATAGCACATTGTGACATCCTTGCGAAAGGAAACTTTGAGGGCTATCAAATTAGCATCTGACAAAATTCTCCTGGTTCTGAGCTCTTGTAGAGTAGGTTGTAAATGAATGTAAGCTGTTAAAGAAGGGCCTCAATTTATAATTTCTAATGAAAAGTTTTCAAAAAACTGTGTGTGTGGGATAATAGCTCCCTACATGTACAGTAGCTCATAACGAAGGATAAAATAGAATAGAATAGCTAGTATATTACTTCACATACTGTACTCAAGGAAAGTGGTAAAAAAATTTAAAAGCACCTGACTTGTCAAAACTCTTTTTATCAGGTTCACAATTATCACAATATAAAATGCATAATTATAATATTATAAAAGCAGATGCAAACCCTATTGACAGTCACTTGCTTTAACGCTGTAGTCTCTAAAAGGAAGCTTTTCTTTACTTTGAATTCAGTATATGTTAAATGTACAAATTGAAAGGAAAAACAGGGAATATTTAGTATAACAAAATTATTTTTTAAACCTTGTATCACACCTGTAGTACGAAATGTATGTATTACCACAGGTTATGTATATAATGACATAATGAGAATCTTATTATAAGAACTGTACAGTTAATGTAAAGTTAGACTCAATTTACAACACAAGCGTGAAAGATCTTGACAACTATGGATTGCAGTAATTATATAAATGGGAAACTAATGAGGAGGAGTGTATAGTGAAGATGATACAAGTAAATTAAATTATGATAGAACTTTAGGTTTTCATCTTATTTATTTCTTAACAATTCTTAATGGGCTTTCCAGTTTTTTTTCCTTTAAGATCATGGTCTGTATAGTCTGTGTATAAAGTATTGTGTAATCATATACCATCTTTATCTTGTACATCTTAAACAATTCACACCATATCACTTTTAAAATTTTGAGTAAAAAAAATTCAACAATTCTAAAAAGCTTTGCTTTTTTCACTTTTTCTTCAATCGATATTATATATTTTTAAATAATAAATTTGAAATTAATGTATTATATATATACATGTAAGTTTATGTTTGTGTGATGCTAATCTCACATCTAGGAAATAAGAATCTTTAATTTAGAAATTTCATAAAGGGCTTGGGGAGTGTCAGTGTCTATTGACATATTGGCGAACCACATAACATCATAGTAATTTTATTTATTTTGTAATATATTTTTTACTAATCTTTCTTTGATTTTTTGAGAGATAAGCGAAGATCATGGGAAAGTAAGGGATATTTTTCAGTGGTATCACCACTGTGACTCAGGTTTGATTCCTGAACTCATTATTTTTAGTTTTTTCTTGTGCTTTGAGGATATGTCTCTGAGGTCTCTGGTTTTCCTCATCAGCAAAACTTAGCAATATCTCTAAATTCCATTTGGATTCAGTGGATGATGAAGAGCCACTCTATGAAAACACCCTTCTCAAATCAGTTTAATTTGCCTTTACAAAAAAAAAAAAAAAAAAAAAAGAAAGAGACAGAGACAGACAGAGACAGAGAAGGAGAGAGAGAACAGGCAGTATTAGCTGCAGAGTAATACTATATGTTTATATTGTATTTCTCTTTGCAGAAATAAAGTAATTTATTATAATAATAGTATGTATAGTGAGGAAACTCAAACCGTGAATGATCTGTTCAAGTTTTTTCCTAGTTATTATTTCCTGAATGTTCTGCTATTTTATACCCTCTAACATGAAGCATTGAGTCCAAATACACCGAGTAATCATTTAAAATAAATCTTGTTTCTATTTGATTGGCTCAAGGGATAATTGATTTTACAGTATGTATGCACGATTTTAAAAAATAGAAAAAAACCCAAAGTTTGTTTTCATGGTTAAAGTAAATCCTCACTGTTATAAAATGTTTGTGTCAAATCCTATAAAAATTCTCCTTCCTCTTCCAAACTATCATTTGTGATTAATGTTATGATAATTGTAACTAGCTTATTAGGAACATGAATTATATTTCCTTATGTCTTAAATGTTTCCTTTTTACTGACACTTCTGACCAAAGCAGAAATTTTTATTATCTATATATATTGTCTTGGTGTCAGAATGTGATGGAGACTTCCAGTCTCACATTTGAGTGACATTAACCTTTTTACTACAGCGCTGTCTATATATGTATTGATTTTAAAATATGATAACTTATTATAGGTATTTATGCTATGAGACAAAGAAATGTTTTTGTTTTTGCATTTTCAGCTTTGTTCACTAGTTTTTTTAGTCTCCCTCACATCTGTTTTTAGTGTCGGTTCCGACACTAAAAACGGATGCAAGGGAGACTACTAGTTTTTCCATTCACTTTGATTTGATAAAATAGTTTGCATATAGAAAAGGATATCAAATGTATAAAAAAATTGCCTGACATTGATCTCTTGCTTACAATTCATGGTTGACATTATTTTTAGTTAACACCTTTTAAATAAAATGAAATTTCTTTTAAGATGTACTTTTGTTTCATATTTTTTTAATCAGTATCCTAAAAGTTAGAATTATAATATCAGCTGTTCTTATTATTAGTTGTATTAGAATCACTTCAGCTGTTCCAAATCTCGAGGATAATTTCAGTAAAAGCCTTGCTATTTGTTCTGGGTCTTTATATCTTATCAGCAGGAACCTATATACTGTATATCAGTCTGCCATTTAATATTAATATTAATAGTTAGCTGATTTACATTTATCAAATGTATATATACTATGATTGGGTCCATAGCTAATATTAAACTGTAGTCCATTTTTGCAAATATAAAATATAAGTTATGCGATATAAATGTTAACAAAGTTTTCAGAGCAAAAGCCATTCTAGTATCGGAGCAGCAATTGTTTGTATGGTCAACTAATGCACTAAGTTGATTGTCAATCATTGACCATTGTCCATAAATGGTTGATCACTGTGGATCAAACTTATCATAAAACTGCTTTCAAAATATTTCTCAAACATGTATTATAGATGTTTTTGTGTTTTAGAAGCCAATTTAAGCTGATGCTGGCTTTGAATCACTAAATAAATATGGACGGACAATGATTTTCAAGATTTTTTAATCAATTTTTCACTTTTTCTGCTCATTTATGTTTCAATTCTAGTGCGACCTTTAATGCTGACTGGATGAATTGTTTGGTATATTACTTTAACAATAAGCTATTAATTTTTAATCATGGTGTCTTGAATTTTTTCTCGCAGTAAGACTTCATGCAAGCATAGCAGAAGAGGGTTATCATTATTTGGTATTTGATTTGTAAGTATCAAAGTTAAGTTGACCTTTCTCTGAAGTAATTATGTTTTTGGGGGAGGGGTAAGAGAAAGAAGGAAAGAGTTTCTAGGGGGGGGGGGGGGGAGGGTCTTAAAAAAAATTCAAAATTTTAATTCAGCACAAAGTGTGAGAAACATATATGTACAATTCTCAAATTGTTTCCACTTTTAACAAAAGGTTCAAAAGCTGATGAAGACTATCCAAGCAGTCTAAAATATATAAACCACAATCTTTAAATATTATAATGAGAGAGAATTACACCTTACATCTGAATATTTTATGATCTTAACTATGAACTAAGGAATAAGCCACTTGGGATATACAACTGTATTCATAACTTAATGATAGTCAATTTGGCATATATGGGAGCTTAGCTTGAGTTTCATACCAGTGTATAATCTTGCATTATTATATATATTTCCCATGTAAAATTGATTTAGTCCTAATTTCATAATAACTAGACCAGGCGAACTCCAGATGGCTGTGTTTTTGGTTTCCATCAATGGAGGCCTGGGGTGGCCACCCTTTAAGATTTTGTTGTATGGTATAATGAACATTGAAAAACATAGGACCCCCACTATTTTTGACCAAGTGCTGATCCCCAATATTTTTTATCTTTTTATGGGCCTGTATTTAGCACCTCCCAAAACCATATTTTATAACTTTTATTTTTAGAGTAACTGGTGGTGAACTTTTTGAGGATATTGTGGCTAGGGAATACTATAGTGAAGCAGACGCAAGGTAAGAAGCAAAAAAAGATATGATTTTAAACACTGATTATTTGACAGTTTGTCGCTCAGGTTAATTGACTTTTTTATTTATCTTTGAAAAAAATTTTCAACCATGTTGTCTGCACCTACTTTAAATCGGGTAGGTGTATATATATTGCGGGTAGGTGTATATATATTCATATTTATTTATTCTTATATTTATATAGTTACATATTTTCAATCTATTTTTTTTTTGTGTGTGTGTGTGTATTTTACACAGCTCCATTGTAAATAAGTTTTAACTTTATGGATTCTGTGTTAAATAAAGTTTATTATTAGTTTATTATTATTACTCATGTCTTGATTWAAAAAGATTTAAATTGAAAACGTAAAACAATATTTCGAAGCACTAAATTAAAACTGCATGTTTTGATTTTCAGCCATTGTATTCAGCAAATATTAGAGAGTGTTCAACACTGCCATGCAAATAATGTCGTTCACAGAGATTTAAAGGTGGGTGTATCTTAACATCTAGAATATGAAGGGTGATGAAGGGCAAGATATAGTCGAACTTCCATGAGAGTGTGGGTGGGATTTTTTTCAAACAGTTAAAACAAATAACTGACATTTGGCCTAAAAATTAGTAGTTAAATGACAAATAACCTGAAATTACATAGTAGTTAACAGTTAACTGATATTTCATTATTTTGGCCGGTGTGTTTTTAAGAGTTATTAAATTATTCAAAGTTAACTGACAACTAACTTAAATATTAGTAGTTTTGACTGACAATCGGGTAACCCCATCCACATCCACTTCTATAATAGTGGGGTTTACAGCAGCTATGTTGTAGGGTATATAGGAATTTTATTTCCCACAATTACATAAAATTTGTATTAATTAAGCTTGTCTTATCCCACAATATGGCTGCCATCAAATTGTTTAAACGAAAATAAATTTTGGAAATAAGTTGATGATTTCTTGTTTGTACTTTAAAATTAGAACTGTACTTATCACTTAAAGTTTAAAAAATACTTATTAGATATTATTAGCAGATAGTAAAAAAAAAAAATAAATAAATTTTACTCACCGAAAAACAATCAGGAACCCTTTCCTTCGAAAACAACTTATACTTTTCAAAGGTTTTCTTGGCGGGAAAGTTTTGGCGGGAACAGACGCGTTCGCGCTTCAAAATACGGCGACATTTATAAAATTATTGACGACATATTTTCGGTTTGAATTTTTCATAAATTTATAAAATAAAGACAAAAATTCAACTTCCTAAGCAATTTCTGTTATGCGTTCTGCTAAAAAGATAAAATAAATAGATGTAAAAAGTAGGAAAAATCATTTAAAAGAACTTTTTTATATTTTTAATTTGGACCGAAAACTTTTTTTTTTCGTTTTATAAAAATGACGTCATTTCCCCCTTCTTTTTCTTCTTCAGCCTGAAAATCTACTCCTTGCCAGCAAAGAAAAAGGTGCCATTGTTAAACTAGCAGATTTTGGCTTGGCTATTGAGGTAGAAGGAGATAAATTAGGATGGTATGGTAAGTAAAATGAAAATTTCACTTGAAAAAAATTTCACAAAAAATGTTTGTCTGAAACCAGATTGACCAGATTTGATATTTCAATGATAGTAGAAGTGGTCGTTTCCAGTGTCGTTTCTTGCTCTCAATCCTACATAATTTTGATTTCTTTCAGGGTTTGCTGGGACTCCAGGATATTTATCACCCGAAGTGTTAAAAAAAGAACCTTATGGAAAAGCTGTAGATTTATGGGCTTGTGGTAAGGGCCTTCCTTCTAGCTTCCTGACTTCAAAATCCTCAGAGTTGCTTACATTTATCGAGTCGGCGTTAATCAGTCTTGCTGGGTGACGTCCATTGGCAGACCCAAGCAAGTGTTTCCCTTCGACTTTCGATTCTTCGTATAAATCTTTATGTCGTTAAAAGTTTTGCAATATACTGAAAGGCATGTTTTGACGTCATATTAGTCCGGCGCCTTGACGTATGATGCCCACGTAGTCAAAGTGTTCGGCATGAACTGAGAAAATAATTTGTTGGGAATTCCTGCATCCCACGTATTAAAAGCTTTTACGTTCTAGTTTAATTACTGTGACCTTGGACTTCCAGACGGGGCTTATATATTTCACAAGTTCGAAAATTTTAAAATATTCTTCAAGTTCAGCTGTTTCTGAATTGACCCACAATGCACTGCAGTATTGGATAATTGATAGGTTTCTATCAAGGTGTTAACATTGTGTTTTCTAAGAATTAATTTCGTATTTTCCTTTGATTTTCAGGCGTGATTCTTTACATTCTGTTGGTTGGTTACCCACCCTTTTGGGATGAAGATCAACACAAGTTGTATGCGCAGATCAAGGGTGGTGCCTATGATGTATGTACTCTTTTCTCCTTTCACTCCTGCTGTTCTCCTGGGCCCGGTTGTATGAAGGGGGAATAGCGCTATCCAATGGATAAATTCTTAGCCAGTGGAAAAGTCAATGCTATTATCCGATAAATTTATCCACTTGATAAAATGTATCCGTCGGATAGCGATAACCACCCTTTGCACAACCAAGCCCTAATGTAGTTCTTTTTTTATTGAGCTTATTTTTACTGTTATTTTCTACAGTGCCCCAAATTCAGTATATTTTTTCCTTATTATTACAATACTATAATTATATTATATTATTTTTACATCTGTAGTATAAATCATAAAATCACAATGGCCCCGTTACAAATGTAGGGATAAAGGAAGAAAGAAATAATACACAAGAAAATGACATGCGACAGTATTTTATGAGCCTCGTACATAGAAATAATGATTACGCTGTTGTTCTCAGCAACATTAAAAAGACTTGAATATAGGCAAAGATAAAAAGAATATCAAGTAGCCATGTCTCATATCGGCTAAGTAATCCTTCACGAGAAATCCAGTCCAACCAATCAGATTTAAAACGTTTTGTCAGATATGAAGATCATCATTGACTTTTCAAGATTGAAAATAAAATTGTTAAACGAAAATCTCATTGGAAAAGAAAATAAAGTAAGCATTTCTCCTTTTAAGTCTAAATATCTCAAGACATTATCAAAACTTGTGTTTTAATAAGTAAAAATATTGAAATAATTAATGCGCATTTCCCTAACTTCAAGCCGGGTTAAATATCAAGTCGCCTGGAAAATACTTAATTTTTTAAAAATATATTAACGTGACAGTACGTGAATTATTTTGAGTTTCTTCAAAACTCCAACAAATCAAATTGTTTTTGCAATTTTTCTGGTGCTTATGTTTTTATTCTCATTCATTCATTCATTCTTTTCTCTTTTTCTAGTATCCATCTCCTGAATGGGACACAGTTACAGACGAAGCCAAGGTAACCATGGAAACTAGTTTCAAATAATTCACATTATTGTTTTGCATTTCAAGGATGTTAAGAAGGACATAGGATGTTCATCAGGGTATAGCTTCATTTCCGAAACGATTAACGGAAAATCTCAAAAACGCACAAGCCGTCGGGGCATTTGAAGTTTATTTTCCTGTTAAGATTTCCTGCGCAGACGTGAAATATTGCACGAATGATATTTACCAAGCAATATCAAGCGGTTAGTCAATAGTCTTTGAGTAGGATGATGAGATATCGCTTTTTGAGAATAGGAAATAAGAGTATATTTCGTATAACTGTAAAACGGCACGGGACACTGCGCCACCACGAGACGAAACTGACGATATCCCGCGAACCAATCCCTACGCGCAAAATCACTGATAAACCAATCAAAATGCTCTGACACGCATTGTCACAGTCACGGTACGACACGTATCGTGAGTTAGCACGAATTTATTTGTTTTCTAGGATCTTATCAACAGTATGCTTACAGTTGATCAAACCAGACGAATTCATGCTCACGAGGCACTAAGACACCCTTGGATTGTGGTGAGTAAATACTTTGAGTGAATATTCTTAGGAAATAATCCTCTTTAATGACAATGTAGCACGCATCGAGAAAAATCTATTGTCCACTTTTGTCTTTAAATGTTATCACTTGTTCTTGTCGACTTGTTAGATGTGTTTAATTAATTGTCTGTATTCAACACATTCAAAAATCTCATTCCCATTACCTCTGCATGAGTATCGGATTTTTCGAGAAAGAAGTATTCTTTCATTTCTTAATTCCAATTCTTATTTTTTCTCTTTCTATTTTTCATAAATTCCAAAATATTTTTATTTATATTTTGGTAAATATTCGTATTTTTTCCTTTGAATTTTAATTTTTTTGGATATTCTCAGTCCCTCTTAATCTCTTTTTTACCCATTTTTACTTCTCTGCAATGAAACTTCATTGTTCATTTTATTTTATTTTTTCAATAAAAGTTATGAAATAAATTTAGTGTTTATTTTATAAAGTTGGCCATTTCCTAGTTTCTAAAGTCAATAATCATTGATGTCATATGTATAATTGCCGGTCAACTAGACGTCATTTTTAAAACTTCTTTCTCCTGTATCTAAGTGCTTAAATACGCGCTTCGACGCCTGCATAATTGACTAAAGACATTGCCAATTTACACCATTTCCCCAGTTCCTCTCAAATACATATCACTGTCTGCCTTTCGCAGTCAGTATAGACATCGTGCTATCACTACGCATAAATTGAATGCTCTTCTGTTATGTTTTAGAACCGAGAACGCGTCGCATCCAAAGTTCACCGCCAAGAGACGCTTGACGGGCTGAAGAAGTTCAACGCAAGAAGAAAACTAAAAGTAAGGCATTAAATTTTTATATAACAAGCTTAATCATCCCTGGAATAGCTTTTTTAAAGAATATTCCTGGCCGGCCTCGCCATTTCCTGCCGTGGCAAAATATATAGAATTGGAGATTATTTGAGTCTTTACTCTCTTCCTCGGGAACAACAAGCCCGAAAATTTGCTCCTCGAATACTAAGGGAAATATTTCTAAAAAATAGTGAAACTGCTAGGTACTTGCCTTTTGTGTATATTTTCATTTTATTGACATAAGACAAAAATTGAGCGCCAACCAGTTTTGACACGAACCGAGTGTCGTACCTAATGCTGTTTACCTACATGTCCACATAGACTTCTATCCGTTGCCATATTAATGAATCAGCTTTGGTGACAGTACCAACTTAAATTTTGAACTTGGCCGACGTGAAGTTGGATGTTATGAAACTGACATTTTGTCATCGTAAAAGGGAAAAAAAATTCGCGTTATCTAAGGGTATCACACGAAATTGATCTAATCAATCCCACCAATAGCAATGCATTAAGGTAACGGTTACGTATTACTGGGCAATTAACATACTAATTCCTTCAAAAGCAATGGTCCGTCCAATGCTTTCAAACGTCGAAAAAAAAAAAAGAACAGAGCTCGACTATATATTTATTTATCTATGCATCGACTAAAATCCTAGATTTTCATTCGTACGCTCGACATAACGTTGTTGTCGTTTTTCTTTGAAAAAATTGAAACTCTCATGCTGCCAATGCATGGTCACGTGATCTTTGGTCCGTTTTATTTAGGTTGCCATATTGACCACGATTTTGGCGACTTCAAACTTCAGTTCAATTGCTGGAGGTATTATATTAATAGAGATTAAGATCATTTAGCTGCTGTTCTTAGGGAACCAGCTTAATGGTCTGTGAAGACCATGGTTTTGCAGCTTTGCGCCTCTGCTCTTGGCTCAAAATTTGTTTCAATCTTAGATTTAGCAAAGTAAAAAAATTAAAACTCTCAAAAGATCGTGTTCTTCCTGAGATTATAATGGATTTCTTATGTTTCAAGTAGATATTTTTCCAGCCAGCCAATTTGTGCAATCTTGACAGAATCCGGCCAAAACTCGTTCGAAACTCGACTTACGTAAGACAAATCTGTCATATTTTGACGTCTCTAATTTATCCTTACCAAAGAGGAAGCAGAACTAAACCGATTATCGAGGAAGTTGAATGACACCACTAATATTTTTTTATTAAGTTCGTTTCATTTCTTGTCTGAAATGCAAAACGGCAATTAAGGTTGATTATTCGAAACCTGGAAGTTCAACTAAACTTCTCTTTTTTTTGTACCTTGACAATAGTGACGTTTTCGGCTTCATTAACACGACAAACAATTTTCACCAAGAATTAGTATTCCGTCTTTTTGTATCATAAGAATTATTTATAGTTTTACAAACAAAATAATTAAGGTACCCTAGAGACAAAGTGGCAACGAATGTCTGTGCATGCGCAGAGGCGCTGAGCAAGAAACCGCGGGCTTCACTCTTTCTAAAGACTTGGGTTTATGTGTGTGTTGTTGTTGTGTTCCAGGGTGCTATCCTTACGACTATCGTCGCTCGTAGGTTCTCTGCTAACTCAGGTACATCATAAATGTTAAACCTGTTATAACCGGTTTTAACTTTATATAATATTTAAAACTGTTTTATGAAAGTGTCTTGATGTCTAAGAAATCTAGCCGAACCACAGAAAATACCCTAAACTTTATCATCAACCTTCATTAATAATTAATTATTTGAACTATTCAAATATTTTTAAATTAAATATTCTTAAAGTGTTGAAAAATTCTTGAAGGAGATCTTTAGTAAAGTTCTTCAACGAAATTTAAAAATGCAAATAAATATGAAATAACTTGTGTTTATAATATTGATTTTAAATTTCAATTTGAACTTCAGAATTGATTCAACAGAGCGAAATACTGTAATTTAAATGCTGATAATATTCTTTATAGCGGCACCAGTTCCATTGGCGCAAAAATTACTCATAAAACACTTATATCTCTTTTATCTTTGTTCAAGACAGTTTTTGACAACCATAACAATTAGTTCTTTGCATGAATCATGCTTTTTAAAATTCTTAAAATTTATACTAAAAATGAAATATTATATAACGTAAAATCCGTAACACAAATATTCGAGTGAACGTTACTAGCCGCGTTGTTTCCCACATCAAACTATGACGTAAAAATTTTTTATTAATGAGAAATGTTAATCGAGGTTACTGTCGAACAACAGTTTTGACCTCAAATAATATAGAATAGGCCATGTTCGAGAAATCATGCTTCTTGCACGTTACTAAGGGTTTGCGAAATAATAAGGTTCAAAATTGCATTAAACCTCAAAAGTTCTATAGATATAGTGATGTGCTGTTATTAAATTGTTGAGTATCGAACTAACTAGCATTTCTACCAAAAAAATTCTTATTATTCAGCGCGAAAGGGTAGGAACGTCATGTTTGGACATTATTTTATTCCTACTAATAAATATATTTGGTGATCCTCGTGTATGGACCATACATGAAGTACACACAAGACTACAGCAATGAAGTCTGATTTGGATGATATCGAACATGGCCTATTCTTGATATTGTGCCGATTGTTTGTGCGTTGATTTAAATGATTTTTCCGGCGGTAACTTTAAAAACACGTTAACTGAATGTTGAAGTTTATGATGTACGTAACCCATAATATACTAACTCTGTCAAACTGATCTTATTTGTTGCTATGGAGCTTAATCCTTAGTTAATCATCTAATTCTTGGTTACTAACACTTGAACAGAATCCATCAAGCTTAAATCCTGAGCCTGCGTTAGGTAAGCCAGATAGCGGTCAACAAACAGCGCATGCGCATATAACAAGAAGAATTTTCAAAATTAGACAAGGCAGCGAGCACCTCAACAAAGCCTCACCTCAACACAAGGTTTATGAATACGCATGTTCAAACCGCAGTTGACCGCTGTTTAAGGGAATGCTTTGCTGGTCCGATAGAACAAGTTTCGGTCTAGGGTTTATATAACGCAGGCTAAGGATAGCAAAGATCGGTATTTACTAATTCAGAGAACTGCGCATGCGTGACGTTTACGACTTCGCCGTTTTAACCAAGGTAACCGTGGTAACATTTAAAGCAACCTTTAAAAAAATCGTCTCCGGACACTAAAATTGATTAGAGAATGAAGTATTATTATAATTTATATTATAAAAAAAGTACATTTATTAATAGTCCCCTTCACAGTTCCCTGCGACATCTTGAAAGGTAGCCGTGCCTTTGCATCGAAGCGAGACGAACGGTGAATTTGCAATGATAGAGACATGAATAATTTCTAAGGTGTTAAAAAAGGTCTCTATCATTGCAAACTCACCGTTCGTCTCGCTTCGATGCAAAGGCACGGCTACCTTTCAAGATGTCGCAGGGAACTGTGAAAGGGACTATTTTGATGGTAAGGTTGATTGATTTCTTGTTGTAGTACACAGAACTCTTTCGGACAAAGCGGTAAAGGCAAAAGGCGGCAAACTGGCGACAGTTAACGAAACATGTTAGTAAAAAAATCAAATCCTAAAAGCACAGCAACCTTCTTGCACTTTGTTTCGTAAGCTCTTTGCACCTATTGTTTCTGTCCTAAAAATTATCTAAATATATTTAAACTTGGTGAAACTACTGTAAATTTGTTCACTAGCTGAGCTAGAGACTTGCACCTAATTACAGTGTAGGGCTACCTGTGGCAGCACTGAATGAAACGAACGTGTTTCGAGTTCAGCTAATGATATTTACAGTATGTTAGATAAATTTTGCTGAAAGTTGTTTTCTTCTTTGGTAATCAAAAATCTTTGAAATCTTTTCTATAAGTTTTCTCTTCTTTTCCGTAAACCTTTCTGCCGCTGTTTTTTCTTTCTTCGATTCTGGGAAATTTCTACTTTCTGTCTTCGACGTAAACTTTTAATATTCTGGTTACTCTTCCGTCTTCTAAGCTTGACTCTTTTCCTCAGTTGTTATCTCTTGATTCCGAAGCTTGCAAGTCACGCATGCGCATTGAAAGTATGAAAGGTTAAATCCTCTTATTCAATTCTGTAATATCTCTCGTGTCGCCATTTTCTATCGGATGTCTCAAAATGCCTGGTTGGGTTGCCTGTGTTGATACCCCAGGTTCGGGCGTCAATCTGTCATGCCGGCGCGCGGAATAGGGGTTTCTCACTTTTAACTTCTTCTGCAAAACCCAACACTAATTTCCAATTCGATCTGTGAGTTAGCCGTGCCCTGACTAGATCGGCATAGGGGTTGTTTCAGGGTTTGTTCTGTGAGTTAGCCGTGCCCTGACTAGATCGGCCCAGGGGTTGTTTCAGGGTTTGATCTGTGAGTTAGCTGTGCCCTGACTTAGATCAGCCCAGAGGTTGTTTCAGGGTTTGATCTGTGAGTTAGCCGTGCCCTGACTTAGATTAACCCAGAGGTTGTTTCAGAGTAACGGTAAAGCTGACCAGAAAGCTAGAACGCATGCTCCATTATCAACACAGATAAACCGCCTCGCATTTTGAGYTATCCGATAAATATGTTGACAGAGAGATCGTGCTTTTGTGTCTGCCGGTAAGTTAGTTTTTAATGCATGCAGAAAACTGTTGAAACTTTATAAATACTAATTATTAACCTTTATTAATATCTTTAACGCTATTTTTCCATTCGTTCAATTATTTGTAGCTTTTACCTTCTCTTTACTTTTTTATCATATCTATTCTTTTGCAATGCCATGTTTGATGTTTGCAATGACGTCATGTCTTTGTTTGTCTGACGTCATCTTATCGTTGTAGTTTGTTTGCTTCATCTTGTTTGTTTGCTTATTTGTTTGTTTGCTTGCTTGCTTGCTTGCTTATTCATGGTGCCTTATATGGCGTCCTTTGTACCCAAGCAATACCACAATGCATCATGTTTAGTGTATCCAGAAAAGGCCTATAGATCTCCTCGTCTCTGACGTAATGTTTTCCCATTTCAGACCACGTGTCATTCCCTAGAGTATCGTTTCTTTATTTAACGGTTGAACATGAGAAGACACATGAATATGGATACAACTCAAACATAGAATATCATTCTCAAGGGAATGACACGTGGTCTGGAATGGGACAACATTACACCGAGCCGAGGAGCCTATTGAAATGTACATGTAACTATTAATGCATGTTTAATTTATTCGTGCGCACACATTTGTGTTGTTTTGCCCTTAATACATGATAATGAAGTGTTCCTCATTTTGATATTTTTATTGCTCTTTAGTGCGACCAATGGTAAAGAAAAGGGTAAGTGTCATATAGACGTTCGTTCGTTTTTTAAAACAAACATCAAACGAGGATACGTTTAGTTCGGAATAGAGGTGTTAAGTTGTGACGTTTCCAACTGCTAAAAAAACAGCTAAAATAAACGAAAACTTTGAATATTAAAACTTGTCTGGACAAATATCCTTTGAAGAAAAAGTAAAAAAAATCTTTATAGAACTGCTTTTTCTAATAAACTCTAATTTCTAGAAAGGGCCTAGATGAAAAATTGCTCTGTGTAGCTCTAGTTACCCTATCAAATTGTGTAGTTTGCGTAGTTTTTTTATTTTGGACCCGGAATGAATATTTCCATACGATTGACGTCACACTTAAAATCTCTAATGCAGGGACATCAAAGTTGCATATTTTCGCCTTCATACAGTTGTTTCAAAGCATTTGAGCATGTTTCCAGTAACACTTGTCACAAACATGTATTGTTTATTTGTTGACATTTTCCATTCTCTGAATTTCAGAATTCCGATGATGACCTCATTCCACACTCAGAAGACGACGAAGCCCCCGATGTCGCTGCTAAAGGTAAACGTAGTTTCTGAATTTTAATTAACTACCAGTAAAATTCCCTTATCTTAGAACGAGTGTACGTGGATGACGTCGTTCCCTTTCTCCGCGTGTGCAATTTAGCAGCAAAACGTTTGTTTTAGAAATGTACATCTATAATTGATGAAATAGAGCAGTTTTCGTATGACTGTGAAAAGCTCGGTGCTCTAAGCATGCCGTGCCGCCGTGACCGTGATGTTTTCTATAGAATTTTAATTGACTAATTTTTTCTCGCGCGATGTCATTGGTCTTTCAGTTCCGTGACCGTGTACGCGCAATGATTGTGCCGTGTTTCGGGCATTTGATTGGACGGAGAGTAAATTCTCAAGCAATGTGATTGGTCAGGCCTATGCCTTGACATTTCATGACCGTGTTCGTGCTGTGAGCTTTTCACAGTCATACGAAAGCTTCTCTATACTGTACTTGCATTGTTTGCATTTCACTGAAGGACGTTGATATAATCAATTAATGAGGGTCATTCAGCTGATTGATACCAAGCAATAGAATACCTTTTTTTTGACAGCACATAACGGGCAGTGTTTGCCCTTCACTGTTGGCTGATTGATATCAAGCAAAAGCCGTTTTCTTTGGTCTTATTATGGTTTGATAAGTTTATATTTATTTTCAGCTGTTCGAGAACAAGAAATCATCAGATTAACACAGAAACTTATAACCAGTATCACCACCGGTGACTTTGAAACATACAGGTAAATCTACGACACTGTACCTACCCCAGCGTCCTGCCAACTTACAGCACATGCTACCTACCCCACTGTCCTGCCAACTTACAGCACATAATCGGTGAGATGCCAGAAAATCTCTTTCGGCCCGAGAGACACGACATTCTTAATGCGCATGCTCGGCAGAATCTCAGAGATGTTCTCTTGGTAACTCTTACTGCGCATGCTTGGTGAGATGCCAGCAATTTTCACTTGAGATCCCAGAGGCCTTGGTGCATGCTCTGCAAGCACTCGACTAAGTGCCCTGTCTTTCTTACTGCGCATGCTCAGGAATCCCTTGACACCCAATCCCTGCCATTGTTAATGCGCATGCTTCTCACAGTTATCTGCTGGTAGGTATCCTGGTCGATGCGCTTGTAGATAGTTCTTTTGTGTAAATCCTATGGCTAGGAAGTGGAAGGCACTACTAGTACTTATCCCTGACCTTTAACAATTATTTAATTTAAACATCAATAGAAATGCAGCTTCCTTCCATTTTTTATTTTCTTTTCTTTTTTTTTTTCTTTTCTTCTTCTTCTTCTTCTCTCTCTGTACTGTTGACCTTTAAATGTTGGGCAATTAATTAATTAAAAAGAAAAAAAAATACTGACAAATCTTTGTTTGAATCGTAGTAAGCTTGTTGATCCACACGTGACTGCATTTGAACCTGTTTCCAATGGTAACCTAGTGGAGGGCCTGGAGTTCCATAAGTTTTACTTTGATAATTGTAAGTAAAAACTTTGAAGTCAGTATGCTCACGTATTTTTATTGCTGGTTAGGGGACTTTTATTTATTAGCACATAGGGGTAGGGGTGGGGTG